CAGCTGGGCTGCTAACTGCAAGATCAGCAGTTCCAATCTACCAGCTGCTCCACAGGAGAAAGATGTTCCCTTTAAGATTTCCAGCCTCAGAAACCCTATGCGGAGTTGCTATGACTCAGAACCGACCTGATGGCACACCACCATCAGGATTCAAATTGACTCCATCTGTGCAAAGGAAAAGGTGGCAAAGCTCCATATCATCAGCTAAAACAAGGCTAGGGGGAAAGTGTGGAATAGCCCATCAATTGTTCATATCCAAATTCAAGCTGAAGCTGAAGAAAATGAAAATAAGTCCACAAAAGCCAAAGTATGATCTTGAATATATCTCACTTGTATTTAGAGACCATTTCAAGAATAGATTTGATGCACTAGACACTAATGAACAAAGACCAGAAGAGTTGTGGGATGACATCAAGAACATCATACATGAAGAAAACACAGGGTCATTTCAGAGACAGGAAACAAAGAAAAGACTAAAGTCAATGTCAGAAGAAACTGAAACTTGCTTTTGAAAGATGTCAAGCCAAACAACTGGAAGAAATAACAAAGTGCAAGAGCTGAACAGAAAAATGTAAAAGTCAGCTCACGAAGACAATCTAAAGTATTATAATGCAATGTACAAAGACCTGGAGTTGTTGTTGTCGTTAGGTGCTGTTGAGTCAGTTCTGACCCATAGCAAACCTGTAAAGGGTTTCTGAGGAGCAACTGGTGAGCTTGAACCACAGGCCTTGCAGCTCAAGCTGACTTTGTAGCCCAGCGCATTAACGCAATGTACAAAGACCTGGAGTTAGAAAGTGAAAATGTACGAACATGCTCAGGATTTCTCAAGCTGAAGAAACGGAAGCAAAAATTCAAACTTCAGACTAAAAAATTAAAGGATTCTATGGTCAAACATTTAATTACACAGGAACCATCAAAGGAAGATAAAAGGAATACGAAGTCACTGTACCAAAAAGAAATGGTCCACGTTAAACCATTTCAAGAGGTAGCACATGATCAAGAACCAGTGGTACCGAAGGAAGAAATCCAAGGTGCACTGGAGGCATTGGCGAAAAATAAGGCTCCAGGATGTGACAAAACATAAACTGAGGCAGCACTGAAGGTATTCACTCATCTATACCCCCCAAAATTTTAAAGACAGATATCTGGTCAACCTGTTAGGTAGTTAGAACAGGGAATGACTAGGGACTAACTACAGATAAACCACAAAGAATTCAGGAAATGACCTGCTCTGTCAGGGGAGTCTAGTAAAAGGAAAACTAGAACATGGGATTTCACCAAAATCAGGCATGCACAGAGAATAGGACTGAGCTGATGTGACCACAGAATTCATCATAATACCACTATAATAAATCAGCGTTATGGTTAGCTCACGAATACAATTAAAACAGACTGATGTAATGAATGGGAAAGGAATACATAAGACCCAGAAATAAATGACTGTTGTTGTTGTTGAGTGTTGTTGAGTCGGTTCTGACCCATAGAGACCCTGTACAGGAGTGGCTGGTGAGCTTGGATCACCAACCTTGCAGTTCAAACGGAATTTGCAGTCCAGTGCACTAAACCATAGCACCACACCAGAACTCAAATGACCAATTATACCAAAAATGTCAGAGCATGGATGAAGCATCCTGGTTTGGTCTTACTGTTCCTCCAGAGAGATAGTAGGGTGTAGGCACAATATGCACACAAAAGGAGCCAGAGAGACGGAGGTCTAAGCAAGCAAGAAAATTTAATAAAGAAAACATAGACAATGCACAGACATTCTCAGAGAAGAGAACAGGCTTCCACCTCAAAGTGAGGGGGAGCCTCAAGTGAGCTCCTCGTTTTATTCTTTATGCTGCTTTCCTTCAGGGCAGGCTCTGGGTCTCCTAATTCCTACGTTTTACTATTATAGCTTAGGGTCTATGTCTGTCTTTCTGGCTTCTTTTATGTGCATATTTTGCCTACATTCTGCCAATTCTTTGGAGGGACAGTAAGACCAAACCAGGATGCTTCATCTGTGCTCTGACATTTTTGGTGCCAAAACTTAGGATTCATTCACATACTTCCTGATCTCCCAGGTTAAGTTCCCCTCACTCCCCGCACTGCCAAGATGACTGCCACTTTGAAAAACTGCCTACTGCTCTGCCTGGAAGCTCTAACACATCACCTGAAATGTGCTGCTGATACATTCCTCCATATCAGCATTGCTTTTCTAGGATCTTTCTTTCCTCCGGTTTCATATTTCCATTCATGGTCATGCCTCAAGGCTGATGAATATCATTTATTTGAGTCCCTGAGCAGGTCTCATAGTCCAAAGACATTTCCTTCCTCCAGTCCAAGGCTTTGGACGTGCCCATATGAGTGGAAATCTGAGGTGTTGCTATGTGACCATGGTGACGTGCAGGCACCTCAGAAAGATTCCCCTTTTATCAACACACTGTAAAAAAAAATGGACTCTGCTGGAAAGTGCCATATAAGGTCTGGCCCAATAAAGCATTCTTGAGTCTTCCTGAGAGACCCCATGGGGTGCCCAGGAAGAACCAAGACACGTAAAATGGAGGGGGTGACTAAGGGACTGATTTCTCCTACCCACAATCAGTATATCTCCAGACCTGACACACAATAGTTAAAGAACCTCTACCTTAAAGACAGAGATCTGTGCTGCTATTATGTCTGTCTGCTATTGCTTTAATACCACTGTCTCTTTCAAACTCAGAGAGGGAACAGACCCAGGAGACCAGGCTTATTTGCACAGTTTCTACTGCAGAATTCCTTTATTTTGGAAATCACTCTTTCATGGCTTTTGGGGGACTCCATGAGACAACTCCCCTTTTTTGGGGAAAGGGCTGTAGAGAAGTTTAGGATGAAACTCAGCAGAAACTAGACTTCCTCTGTGGTCTATCTCTTGAAAAATTATGTCCAAATCCTTATCAACAGAATTATGTCCTACAAGGAATTCTTGGCCGACGGATCCTTGCTGGCTTATTTCTTTTTCTTTGGAGATGAGCAAATTTGGAGAGAAAAAGTCCCACATCCTGGCAGGTGCCCAAAGTTAGGACACCAAGGAATCAGCACTCTGATTTGCAAAAGAGGTTGATTGTCCCTCCTCAGAGGTGGTCCAGCTGGAAATCATTTCTGCAGAATAATTCTGGGAAAACTGGAGGCCCTAGAACATCAGTATTTTTGATGTTCCAGGGGGACAACTTGACCTTTCCCTGGGAGTATTTTCACATGCTTATGGGTCCTAAGACACAGATGCCCAGTCTAGGGACACCCAGTCTAGGGACTCACTCTCTTGTCTCAGGTGCCATGGGACAAGCTCCATCCATCCCTGATAACTCACCTTTGTAATGTTATTAAGAATTGAAAAAAATCTTAATTTTGACAATCGGTGGAAAAAGAAGTTAATATTTTTCTGTACCCGTTGGCCCCAGTAAATAGAAACTGGGTCTGGTGGACCAAGAGAAATGGCCAGTAAACAGAAACTTAATTTACAACACCCTTGTACAATTCGACCTATTCTCAAAGGAGTCCTGGTGTGGTGCTGTGGGCTAATGCATCAGACTGCAAAGTCGTTTGAACTGCAAGTTCAGTGTTTCAAGTTCACCAGCTACTCCTTGGAAACCCTATACAGAGTCGCTATGGGTCAGAATTGACTCGACAGCACTTCACAACAACAACGTAGGTAGCAAGAAGCCCTGGTAGTGTTGTGAGTTATGTGTTGGGCTGCTAAGTACAAGGTCAGCAGTTTGAGGTTACCAGCCACTCTATGGGAGAAAGATGAGGCTTTCTGCTCCTGTAAAGATTCATAGCCTCAGAAACCCCATACAAGGTTCCCTTGTGTTCAAGTCTTTATGACATTTAAGGAAAACACAGAAATATGCAAGCGTTGTGTAGAAATTAGTCTCCTAAAAAATCCACTGACAGTGGTAGGTAAAATAGAAGAACACGAGAAGCCAAAATCGTGCTCCAGTGCCCCTCCCCCAGACTACTCATCTCTTTCTAGTCTCTTACCTTTGCAAGAGGTTTCAGGGGCCAGTAGGCAATGTATCAGGGGCCAGTCACCATTTTCTATGGCAGATTTGAAACAGTACAAGAAGAAGCTAGGGAGTTTATCAGAAAATTGCACTAAGTTTATTGAAGAGTTTGAACAATTAGCTTTGACTTCTTAATTAAACTGAAAAGACATCTTTATGGTTGTCTAGGTGTTGCACAGTGAATGAGAAAAACTATCTCTGGTCAGCTGCCCAAACATATGAAAATCATTTCCATGTTCATCAGCAAACGTTACCAGCTGGGAATATGGCAGTCCTCTGGGCTGATCCCTTGGGGAATTACCAACAGGGACAAACAGGAATAGCTGCAAGAAGCCACAAGATACTTTGCATTCTGGGAGGAATGAAACAGATCCAGATTAAACCTGTCAATTTTTCTAAATTAACAGAAGTCATTCAAGTGAAGGATGAAAACTCAGCCTTCTTTAGAAGATCCTGACTGAAACTGTCACAAGGTATACTAATCTAGACCCCAGTTCATCTGAAGTTTCTATAGTTATAAATTGTGCTTTTATCAATCAGTCAACTCCTGACATTTGCAGAAAATTACAAAAACTAGCATTAGGTACCCAAACTCTCCCATCTCAACTGCTAGAAGTAGCCACTACTGTCTACAACAATCAAGATATGGAGGTGACAGGGAGGGACTGCCAAAAGGTTAAGCGTTTTGTAGCAGTTTTAATAGCTCAGAACCAAACTACCTCCTCTGGCCCAGGCAAGAAGATGGACAATTGCTTTCATTCTGGAAAGCCTAGACACATCGCTGGGAATGGGAAAAGCAACTGGTCCCTAAAATGTCATATCCTTGGTGTGGTAAGTTTGGGCATTGGGCACATGACTGTCCAGCATCCTCAAGGCAGCACTGTGAAAGTCACAAGACCCTTTTGGCCCCTGAAAAACTTGAGGACTGATGGTGTTCAGAGATGGCAATGGCTCCATTAAGGTCCCTCACAAGGAACTCTGGATCATTGTGGATGTAGCCAGTAAGTTCATTCCATTTTTAGTAGACATGTTGTTTTTGTTAAGTGTCGTTGAGTCGGTTCCAATCCATAGCGACCCTGTATAAGGTTTCTGAGGAGTGACTGGTGAGCTTGAACCACCGATCTTGCAGTTCAAATGGCTTTGCAGTCTGGCGCATTAACCCACAGTACTACACCAGGACTCACTAATTTGGTCTTAACAACATTTGGAAGTATTCTCTTTCTCCTTCATCCTGCATAATTGCTGACATTTACAGGATGCCTATAAAAAGGAGGGAACCTAGCAAATTGCTGGGTATGTGTGGAAAACTTCCCCCTCATGAAAGAAATAGAAAGCCATGATTTCAGGGGCATCCACTGTTGGAAAATGAATAGTAGAACCTTCCTATTTTTATTAAAGCACCCAAGGACTCTGAGATAACTATCTTACAAATAAGCTCTAAATCCATACACTCATCCGGAGACCATGAATGTTTTCAACCAATTTCATTTACATGGTGGACTTCAATTGAGCCCAACACCAAAGACATTCAGTACAACTTTTCATGTTTTAGGAAGAACAACTCATCATATACATGTAATTGCATAGGAAATTGATGTACACTGGAATCGAGTGATGATTTTGGATCAGGTTATAATTGAATGTAGGGTCTTAACCCTACAAAACCATGCTTTGACAGTGGGTTTTCCTGACTGGTGGTCACCACTACCCAGGGTGGGCTAGCAAAACCAGTCTATTTTGCCATCCATTTTCTAGTCACTCTTATTTAGATGCTGATAATTCCAGTAATTGGGGAAATTCTTCCTCTTTATTGTGTTTGAAAGAGGGATGAAAGTTTTCTGCCAAGGTCAAGAACAATAGAACATGGGCATTCTCATGTCTAAATGCAATTCAAATCTGGGGAATCTTACTCTAGGATTTGTAAACCCTATATCTGGGGAATTCCAAGTAGTTCAAGATCGAAGACCTGCCCCTTCCTCAACTTCCTCCAATATACTACTGCCCAAAGAGGAAAAAGGGAACTCTCTTTTCTAATCCTGGGTGTAACCCCACTAGTGGCTGCTGGATCTGTGGCATATGGAATTATGAATAACCATATAGCCATCCAAAATGTTTCATCACCAGTGAAGGAACTGGGGGAGAATTCTGGACAATCACTGAGAACCATTAAAAAATCATTAGACTCAGTAGCCAATATGGTCATTGACCATTGCATGGCCCTTGACAATCTACTGGCCAAAAAGGTGAAATCTGTGCAGTTACTAATACAACCTGCTACATTTACGTAAAATTAACAAGAGAAGTTGCACTCAAAGTACAACACATTCTAGAAAACAGAAAGTGGCTACAAGAATAAAGAAATGTCCTCACCCAAGATTTCTGGTCACAAATAAAAACATGTCGCCCTCTATAACCTGGCTAAGTCCACTGCTAGGACCCTTAACTTGTATATTACTTCTGCTTATGGTTGGCATTGCATACAAAATTTACTAACCTCTCTTGTTACCAAAAGACATGACGCTTTTGGCAGACAAATGCTGCTAAGCCAAAAGTATGTTCCAATATATGGTGGGTGAGCCTATTCCCCTTAATGTACTAGATCAGGCTGGACATTCCCTATATTCTATTCTAGTGCCTTTGAGCAGCAACAATCGGTGTCTCCAACATGCATCTGTGACAGCTGTAACTTACGGATAGGAGGAACCGGAATCCCTGGTACCCAGTGATGTCCCTGTTCAGGGGGAAGAAGCTAAGAATGAGTCATCATCCGTATTCCTGAAACATCAGGGTTTTCTTTCTGTCAAGGGGGAATGCTAGGTAGTTAGAACAGGGAAAAGGGGCTAACCACAGATCAACCACAAAGAATACAGGGAATGATCTGTCAGGAGAATCTAGTAAAAGGAAAAACCAGGCATGCACAGAGATTAATAAGACTGAGCTGATGTGACCAAAAAGTTCATCATAATACCATGATAATAAATCAGTATTTTGGTTAGCTCATGAATACAATTAAAACAGACTGATGTAATAGGAAAGTAGTACATCAGACCCAGGAAGAAATGACCGATGATTAGCCCTAAATTATGATAGGAAAATGTAGGAATCAAGAGAGAATTATCAGGACACCATGAACCTGCCTCAAAGTAAAAACAGCATAAAAAGTGAAACCAGGAACTCACTCGATGCTCCCTCTCACTCTCGAGGTGGTAGCCCATTCTCCTCTCTGTGAGAATATCTATGCTTTGTCTGCGCTCTCTTCCTTAAATTTTCTTGCTTGCTTAGACCTCTCTCTGGCTCCTTTTATGTGTTCATTGTGCCTTGTTGTTGTTGTTAGGTGCCATCGAGTCAGTACCAACTCATAGAGACCTTATGCACAGCAGAACGAAACACTGCCCGATCCTGAGCCAACCTCACTACTATTACCACGCTTGAGTCCATCGATGCTGCCACCTGGCCAATCCATCGCAATGGGGGTCTTCCTTCACGCTACCAATTATTTGGGGTGACAGTAGGACCAATCCCCGACACTTCATCCACACTGAGAGAAACCGATTGGAAGAGATCCATATTTATGCCCATTCCAAAGAAAGGTGCCCCAAGAGAATGCAGAAGTCATCAAACAATATCATTAATATCATGTGCAAGTAAAATTTTGCTGAAGATAATCCAAAAATGATTATATCAGTACATCAGCAGGAAGCTGCCCACAGTGGAATCCTGCAAAAGTGACCCCAGGAGAGTTGAGACCACCACCACCTGCCCTCACCCTTCTCTGGCGGTCAAGAATCAGAGACACAGTATAGACAGAGATCAAAGCAGAACCCAGAGGAGGGTAGGGCCTAAGAGGCTCAGGACCAGTGCCCAGAGACTGTACCCCACCAGGCTACCCCGTTACAGAGATTCTTGTCACAGCAGTTGGTAGACACATGTTCTACCTTCAAGTCAATGGTTACATTCTCCTTTTCAGCAGTGAACATGGATCCCACTGGAATACCTGCTTTGATATCCTTCAAAAACTCTGAACAAGGCGTTCCACAACCCTTGCCGATATAGGTGGCTCTCTTTCCTGTGGACAAGAGATGAAGGCAGCTGGGTAGAAGGTCTGAGGAACAACACCAACCTTCCTCAAGACAGCTCCCTTGCTCCCCACACAAAGAAAGCCCTCTCTCCTCGCCTCAGGTCTCCTCCCCAGACAACTTGGAAGCCAGTGGGGACATTGAAGCAGCTCAGAAGAGCAGGCACCTAATGGGTGGAGGATGTGTGGGGTCACACCAGAGTCCCTAAATTCTGGCCCCATGGCTTTCTCCAGGCCTCAAGGCAGAGGCTTCAAGAAAACTGCCCCTTGGTTTGGCCCTCTCAGCCACCCCTCATGTATGTCTGGGGACTCTGGGTTCCACCCAGAACTCACCATTGACCGTGCCAGTGATTGCAAAAAAATTGCAGCTCTGAGCTTCTAGAGGACAGGGGTTAGATCTGCACTTCTCAGGGTCCCCCACAAAGTAGAAACATTCATTGCAGGTCAGGCCTAGGGCTGAGGGGTGTGGAGGGGACCAGGTCCAGAGTCAGAGGATCTGGAGCCTGCGCTCCTTCCCCTCACCTAGAGGTGCTCACCCCACCCTCTCTGTCATCCCCTCCTTGCCACCACCCTCCTCGGTCTCCTTGCGACCCTCTCCATCAACACACACACACACACACACACACACACACACACACGTACCACCCCACTCTTGTCAACTCACGGCGCCCAGAGCACAGCAGTGCCCCCAGCAGCACAAGGCTGGAGATCTCCAGGATCTGGGATCCCAACATGAGAAAGGGTGGGCAGTGCAGGATCGCTGGGGGCCTGGGGAGAGGCCAGGATCAGCCTTTCATCACAGACCCAGGAGGCCAGGATCAGCCTTTCATCACAGACCCAGGAACTCCATCCACCAGCGCAGACCTGGCAGGAAGCCTCTCCCTCCCTCTCCCACAGTTCCTCATCTTCTCTGGGGTCTTCAGGGCCTGGCGTGGCCACAGGTTTCCTTTCTGCTTTATATCTCCTCCAGGATCCTAGAGAGCCCACCTGCCTGACTTAGAGATGGAAGGCCTCAATCCTCTCCTCCAGGCATCACTAGGAGCTGAAGGGGGTGGGGGTGGGGTGGGGGAGGAGAGAGCAAGTTCCCAGTGTCTCCTTTTGTGTCCTCTAAAGGTCGAGACCCTTTGATGTCTGACCCCTCAGGGCCTCTCTAGAGTTAGGCTTGACCCACATGACTAGCCTTCTTCTCAGGGCTGCCTCCCCACCTGTGTGGCCCACCTCATGATCCTTACCCTGAGCCCCTTGCTGGTCCCTTTCCACCTCTCCCCCCACTTACTGGACGTCGGCTCTGCTCTGATTCTGAGTCTGACTTGGGTGCCCAATTTTCTGAAGCATTTATGCTCTGGGTCCCCAGCCCCACCCTACAGAGGAAGGGTGTGAGGTCTAGATCCTGGGCACACTTTGTCTCTTCTTCCTGTCCCTGCCCCCTGCCCTGCCTTCTTAGCCATCCCAACCCTGGTGAGAACAGTGGTCCCACTGGACAATGAATAGGGGACACTGAGGCCCAAGTAGGCCAGGGATGACCCAGGTTGGCTACAAAAACCTCCATCTCTCTTATCCTCTGAGTTTAGGTACAGGGTAAAGGGGGCGGAAAAGTCTTGGGGGTGTTTGTTCTGGCTGCCCTCCATCCCTGAGTTACGTGTTCTGGCTCATGAGGTTTCCCACTCATTCTCCAAGCAGGGTAGTCCTGCAGTCCCCACTCTGGGATTCCAGCTTAGGGTACCAGCTAGACATGAGAGAAGAGGGGGTTTTGGTGAGAGAATGGAGGCAGGGCTGTGTCCTAGGCATGTGGGGGAAGAGAAAGATTTGTACAACCATTTCCAGTTTCAGCTTCTTTGCAGAGATCAAAGGAGAGAAGAGAAAGATCCGCTAGAAAGGCCCACCTCTTCCTGACACACTGCTCCCACCCCCTAAGAAGGTTCCCCTGCTGAGCCCCCCATCAGGCAGTGCCCTGTCGAGCTAAGTACTACATTGCAGAGGCCCTGGTAGAACTGAAGTCTACGTTTTTGCCTGTGAGGTCTGGGGGAGACTCTGGTCCCAGGCCAGTTTCCTGTTCTCCACTCCAGGGACTTCCCAGAGCAGGAAGCTTGCGTAGGGAGTGTCCTGTCTCCAACTCCCTTGATTGGACCAGCCCTCTGTGACCTGTCCAATCCCCATCCTAGCCATGTCCTTTCCAATCAGGGCCACCTCAGTCCCTACACACTCACACATTCACTCACATGTGTCTATACACACTCAGGTCCTGACACACTTGCACACTCTTCCATGTTTGCACACATACACACTCACTGGATTCTTTGGGGAGACATTAGAAGACATGGCAGTGGAAGGACGCCTCAGGTTTCCAAGGTGATCACATGATCATTGGAAGAGGGGAGGCTGTCTAGGGTGAAAGGACAAAGCCCTTGAACAGAGTCCCTGTGGGGCACAACTGGACTAAGGAGAACCCAGTGCCTGGAGAGTGGTTTCCTCCCCTCAGGAGACTTTGTGTTGACTCAGGGGAGCAGGAGAGCACAACCAGCAGCCCCTCCCTATCAGCAGGTTACCAAGTCAGCAGCCCCGGTTCTCCAGAGGGAGGAGCCCTGGGGAAGGGATCCCAGGAAAGGCAGAAGACAGTTATGGGCAAGGTGCAGGTCTGCAGGTACCCTTCTGTCCTGTTCTTTTGTGTGTGTGTGTGTGTGTGTGTGTGTGTGTGTGTCTCAGAGAGAGAGAGAGAGAGAGAGAGAGAGAGAGAGCAAGCAGCCTGCTCCTGTCCTAATGGTGACTGAGAGGGACACAAACATTAAATAACATGAGTCAAAGCAAAAGAGGACTAGGTATGTAGGTATGACAGGACACAGAGGGCAATGTTTTCCTATCCTTTCAGGACCTTCACCCTAACCCTAAACAAGAAATGTAAAGTACAGGTTTCCCCGAGCATACATACAACAGACAGGTATGTTCTATAAGCATTGGTCTCACTGCGGGTGGCAGTGGGACGACCAAATGACACTATCAGAGGGGTGACTCCAAAATGACTATTAAATTTTTGTTCAGTGTTTCAGCAGAAATTTACCATTTTTTTTAAATTAAAATACCCCTGTAGTTAGTTATAACGAAAAAAACATTTTTCATAAGCCCAACTTACATGTATCAATATGCAAAATACAAGGTTAAACCTGTATGCTAATTTACGGTTTGAACCTTCTATTGCACTTCTTGGAGTCCTGGTGTGGCACTGTAGGTTAATGTGCTGGACTGCAAAGTCATTTGAACTGCAAGGTCGGCGCTTCAAGCTCACCAGATGCTCCTCGGAAACCCTATGCTGGGTCGCTGTAGGTCCTAACTGACTCGACAGCACTTCACAACAACAACAATGCACTTCTTGGACTTCTGGTGTGGCACTGTGAATCAGTTCTGGACTGGGCACCACGAGTTCAATAGTTCAAACCCATTAGCTACGCCTCAGAAACCCTATGAGTCACTATGAGTCGGAGCACTTAACAACAACAATGCACATCACTACCATTCGTCTGTCAGTTTGTCGCACTGTGATGGCTTGTGTGTTGCTGTGATGCTGCCATAGTAGTTCTCACATCCTGCTGTGAACCACAGCGAGTTGTCCTCTTGTCTGTTTCCCATCAGGTATTTTGTGAGAATGGTACCATGTCTTCTCCAGGCTCTGAGTTCCCAACCATTCACTTCTCCCCAGTCTGCCCCTCTCTCACAATACTCATCTTGGTAGAAGTTGGTTGTAAATTCCTCTCTAAGAGGAAAGAGACGAAACTGAGAATCTACACACTAGAACTTCTTAACAATGTTCTTTTATATAACTCAATGGTATATATAAGTTTTTATTGTATTGTGACTCTATATGACTCTATTTGCTTATATATTTATAATACTTTTTTTTAAGTTTTTATTGTGAACTGAGTGATCAGTTTACATAGGAGAACATTGGGTTTCTACTCATTGTTTAATTGCAATGATTACAATCCCCTCCATGCATCATCATTCAACAGTATTTACTTCTATTCTCTTGTGTGTGTGTGTGTGTGTGTGTGTGTGTTTTGTTTTGTTTTGGGGGGGGCAGGTGGACACCAAAACACTCAGGAATATATAAACATTTAAACAACCAAAGGGCACATTCTACAAGCCTGCTTCCTAGCTGCCAGCAAAGACTTTCTCTTTCCATGAGTCTACAGCCCTCAGCTGCTCCCTCTCTCCATGTCATCATCTCTGTCTCCATCTCTGGTGTCACTGCTTTTCTGGATAGGGTCCCACATTCTGCTCATGCTCTTTTCCCTTGATGGTCCTAGGGTCCTCTGTTTCTGGACTAGAGAATTAACTACTCCCCCATTTTTGTTATAAAACTTCTACCTTTACAGTTATGACAATCACAATTAGTCATGATAACAACAACTCACTTTTGAATCATAAGAATCTTATCCCCATCTCCTTTCACCAGACCCATCTAGACAAGATGAAACCATTCAGTAGGGATTCTATCTTCCCCCGCACACTCTGAAACTAAACTCCCTTTTGAAAACTTTTAAGCGAGTTATTTCGTGCCTTTATAGCCCCCCTCATTTTAGGTAGCCAATGTCTAAGTTGCCCGTTCCTATCACCCCTACATACAAAAGGGATAGGATGAAGATTCCTTCCCTCTCAGTTGGTATTTTGAGCTACTACATCCATAAGTATAGCTCACATTCATCAAATTGTAGCAATTTACACTTGTTTCCTTTATCAAAATTTTTTATTCTTCTTTTAGTAGAGCTGTGATCTTCAAGCCACTGAAGCTAGATCAAATAGGTACTAGCTGCAAGTTTGGGCAAGGAGCTCTGTTAGCGTAGTGGTTATGAATCAGGCTGTCAACCGCAAGGTCAGCAGTTCAAAACTACCAGCCGTTCCATGCGAGAAAGATGAGGCTTTCTGCTCCTGTAAAGATTTACAGCCTCGGAAACCCTGTACAGGGTCGCTATGAGTCAGAACCAACTTCATGGCACATA